AAACATCATCATAAATGAAACTGCTCACAGTGCCACCTGCCATAATTGTAAATTGTTCACTTGCATTAACCATGCTCTGCTTATAAACCATTCAAAAGACAGCATCTTCATCCTAAAGAGCAGGATGGGGGTGTGGATCCCAGTGGAGATGAAGCGCAGATGGGAGAGCAGTCCAAAATCACCCTTCATGATGCAAGTGGTGTCGGAGATGCTGTAAAGACCTAGCCGATTCATGGGAATTCTAATCGCAGCTATAATCAGACTTATAGCTATTGCCACCACTGTTGCTGTCGCTGGGAGTGCTCTACAAGAGTCCATCAAAACTGAACATTTCGTGTAGAAGTGGCAAGTGAACTCACATCAGTTCTGGGCCACTCAGGCAAAGGTGGACGATGAACTGTGGGGGAGGGGGGGAAGTAGCGGAGCTGCAGCAAACTGTCCAATGGTTGAGAGACCAAATTATGGACTTGCAACATCAATTAATGTTAAAATGTGATTGGAATGTAACTGACTTTTGTATAATCCCTTACCCATATAATAAGACATTGCATGGTTGGGATTTGATCAGGAAACATTTGCAAGAGTTTAAGGGAAACATTTCATTAGATGTTGATCGGCATAAGGATATTTTCTATATGTTCAGACAAGCTTGAGGCGTCTCCTGACTCTGATACGATTAAACAACTGGTGAATGACATGAGTTGGACCCACAAGCTTGGGCTCAAAGCATTTCACATAGCTTAACTTCCATTCTGACTGTGCTGTTTATCATCATAATTTTGATGCTCACAGTCTCGTGTCACTCCTATAGGAAGCAAAGAGATATGAAGAGAGACCATGTTACCTCTGTGACACTAGTAAATCTTAAACATAATGCAGAAGGGGTAAATGTGGGAAACTAGCAGTGAGGTAAATAAAACTGGGACTTATTTCCTGACTGGTACAGAGGGAATCTGGAAGACTAGTATTCCATGGCAGGAAGACCGCCGCTCTGGTAGCTGGAGATATAGTCCGAGTACATTTTCCTGCAGTTGTCTATAATTTCCAGTTTCCCCCCTCAAGCTGTGCTGCCTTAAAGTGAGCACATGGTTGATTCCATCTCCCTACAGAAGACTGGCTCTATTTCCTCCTGCCGTGGCATCCAACTCCTCCATACCTTCCCCAAATAGATGGCCATGGAAAGACTTATCCCATTGCCTGGATTCAAAATGTTTACGGTAAGCCTGAATTTTGGGCTTTATTAATTTGGTCATTAAATTTGCCTTGACAGCTTTCAACATATAGAAAAAAAAAACATGTAGCCACTGTGGCTCTTTTGAATTTAATATACAAAAGAAAAGGGGGAAGTGTGGGAAATAGATTTCTCCCAAGTTGTCTCCCCAAAATATATGCCAAACTTAGCTGCTTGCTACACGTGAATGGCTAGACACTAGGAGATTGACAGAAGTAAGGTAGGGGTTATTCTCCCTAGTGTTTTTTGACCATCTAGAGACCATCATCCCACAAGTAGGACCCACTCCCTTCTGATATAGAAGTTGATTGTTTTCTTGTAGGAGATCCCTTAGAGGTCAAGCTCACCCAAAGACAACCAAGGTTAGGACGCCATCATGAATCTAGGGTCCGCCTATCGTGTCACATGTATACCTCTAGTCCCTCCCATTCCTGTGCTCACCCCTAACTCATCCCCTTCCTGTCATGCTTAAGCCTATTGTACAACCCCTTCCTAAGATGTGTATACCTATTACACCGCCCCTTCCTGTGATGTGTGGTTGTAACCCTTGATTAGCAATAAAGTTGGTCTCTCCTGCTCTTGGGTCTCCCCAGGAGGACCACTAAGCGGGGCTGAGGTGAGTATGCTACTATGAATTGTGTCTTGACTCCATTACTTCAATGTCTCTTCTCTCTGATGACTTTATTATAATCTTTACTTATTATCGCCGTACAATTGTGCTTACTGGATGATTTGTTGGGGGGTCCTCTTTCTCCCCATGTATCACAATGACACCACTTAATGTCCTAAAGAATAATTTTTAAATGGAGCTTAAAAAGGTTTCATCATATATATATATAACATTAGCCTGAGGTATCTACTAGGACCTATAAGAGAAAAAGATTGGTTTTATTTCAACATTTTATTGAACTTTTCATAATATACAATTTACTCAAAACATTTAAAATTATTAGGGAGACAAAAACAACTTAAAAAAATAGACAGACACCTCTTCAAGCTGAGGTAATACTGTCCAATCACATTTTTTGTTTGTTATTCTGCTATACAACTTTGTACCACATCAATGATACTTAATGACTCAATGCAAGACATTACATATTCAGAGAGAGTAAAAGCAAGCCAATGAGAAATTAGGTACAAGCTTATGAAAATCCAAGCAGAAATGCCAAAGTATCACTTACATTCAGTGCAATATGAATTGTTACCACGGGCATTTTGCTTATGCAAATTAAAAAAATAATTTATTTGGCCGTCTTTTTGAGAAATGGCATGGTAATCTTTTAAAGAGCTATTTCCAAATGTTAAATAAGAAAACTGAATGACATTCTCCAGGAAAAGGTAACCCGTTTCAGCTAATAAAGCAAATATAAAAGCAACCTGTTTTGTGAGCACATACATAGATGGAGATACTGTAGCATTTCTGTCCAATCAATAGTAAATTACCTTTTCAGTTATTACACACCCAGTGCTGAAGACAGTTAGCAAACCTCTTACTGCTCCTGTTTCTGAAAACTCTGGTTATCAGTCCATGGCCACTTTGAAATTAACTTGGCTTTACTATTTTGTACTTAATAATATATGTAAGTTTGGATATTAAAATCAATGCATAATCTTAAACCAAGGATTATGTCCTAAAGGAATATAAACAAAACTGAGAAAGTTATCACATGGGCAAGAGATAGAATAAACCATATTTTGAAAGCCATGTCAGAAACTCACTTAAGAGGGTTTAATATTTACCATGTACTTCAGTTTTTAAACTCAATCTTTTTCAAACTGTTTGATTCAAATGAAGAAACTTTGTAACATATTTCACTTTATCATATTACACTTTAGTGCCAAGGCCAAAATGTGGCCTATGTGTGACTGTTTGGCCAATGAAACAATTTTAATAAAGTATTCACATTTCTACTACTTACACTGAATTTAAAAATCTCATTCCAAGCTATTATTACCTCAGGAAATTTAGCCAATGTTAAAGAAAATAATTTTTAAGGAAAATTACTCCTTTTAACATTCAGTTAAATTTATTTGCCAACATTTATTTACTTGAATTTTAAAGACACTTATGTTTCAACTATTTTATGATGACAGTAAAAGGAATTGTTGTGTAATGTTTTTATTAAATTTTAGTTGTAATATTGATTGATATCTCCTTTCTCAGAGAAAGTGAGACCCCCTTTATTTGTTTGAGCTTTGACTTACTGGCTTTAGCCTACCACACTTGCAATGATTTCATAAGGAAACAAATTTAAGTACCTATATCGTCATGTTAATGCCCAAGAAATCTTGAAATATTTACTTTTTAACAAGATAAAATCTCCCATATCTTTCCAAGACTAAAGACTTGATTCTACTCAGGTTGTTTTTCCAGAAAGACAACTAACTTGACATCTTCTGAAGTTTACTATCTGAAACCATTTTTGATTACATAGAAAACACACTGAAGTTTTTTGAAGAAAGCGCAGTATATTAGAAACTTTAAAAAATTAGCTGTTCAAAAGCAATGAGAGTAATATAAATGCCATAGGTTGGACAAAGTAAATCATAACTTTAAAGATTAACCATGGAATACTTGTAATCTAATTTTGTTTTCCCATTTTGGTAGGGTTTAAAAATGGAACACAAGTGCTTTACTAATCTTAAAAACAAAAAACCCAGGAACATATTTACAAGGTAATAAAGAGAGTTCCTATATTTCACTTTTGTGGATAACATTTTTTTGGTTCAACCATAATAAACTGTAAAAAGCAACTAACCACCTATTGGAATTTTTGCAAAGTAAAATCAATTCCATTTGTATGTTGTACAGCATCAGTGAAGTCATTGTACTTCAGGGTGTTGAATAGCTCACAGTAAACTAGGATCATTCATGAGAAAGACATTTCCAATGGTTAAAGATACATCATCAGTCAATCGTACGTTTTACTATACAGATAGCAGTCTACACAAATTACATTTAGAAAAAGATTTACTCCAACTGATTCAATCTGTGTATAAATGTGTGTGCGTGCACA